CAGCTTGTTCTACAGGTTGAGCCTCATCCAGTGTCCTTGATATGCGAGCGAGAATAATCGTCGTAAAGAGCTTGTAAAGCACACTTAGCAGCCTTATTGGACGGTAGCTCCGAAGATCCCTATCGCCCTTCATATGATTAAGGATTGTTCTTGAGGTTCTCCACTGTCGGGGATCCTTTCCTTTTGAAGGTAGGACGTCAGATGTTCCGCAGGTATCTCGTGTAGGCGATGTCCTCCAGCTTGTAAGAGGTCGACAAAAACTTGGTCCGGTCCCGGAGCCGTAGCCGCCTTGATGGTATGGATTGCGGCGCGTACTTCAACAGGTAGAATCCGTGGTAGTATTTCTCCAGTGGGAATAACGGGTTTTGACACGGATGTTAACGAGCGAAAGAGATTGGTTTAGAGTCTCTTTGTGATCTATTCCATCTTTTGTCGGGAAGATGTGCGAGTTCCGTCTTCGTTTAGTAATATTGTCAGCGGAATACGATAGTCGAGAAGATCTCTGCGGTACTTGTTTAGACTTCTTCTTCTTTGTGCTGCTTCCAAGTGTTTTGATTGCCTATACTTCCGAAGATCTTCTTGCAAAGCTGATCTGCAACTGGTATTGGCTACCATTCGCTCGAGATGTGATGCAGTCGAATCCAGCTTCAGTGCCCTTCTCCTCTCTAGCAGATCCTTGGTGGCTTTCGAAATTCATTGCAAGTTCCTTGTGCGAGGCATTGAGGCACTTTCATCACAGGCTCTCTGTCCTCTAAGGAGCAGATCGTAGTCTTTCGTCGGGTTCTCCCCGACGGGACAGTTATAAGTGGTCAGGAGCTCCTCCAATCTGAGCCGTCATATACGACTTCTCTCCTTCCTCCAACACGGTGACAGATCTTTATTTCCAGCTATCGGCTGAATCGCACTTTTGCTCGAAGGAGACGGTGATCTGAGCCACTACTGAAGCATGGTACCACTGAGACGTCCAGTAAGCACCACCTTCGGCGAGAATGTGATCGATCTCCGCATGACTACCGTTGGGTGACTCCCATATTTACCGCTTGTGTTCTTTCTTCATGAAGGAGCTGGCATGGAAAAGTCGTGCGGCGGATAAGAGCCCAATATGACGGTTGCCTCATTTCGGAGTCCTGATCCAAATCTCCCGATCCTGTGCTCCCCTTCTTCTGGTATCCCGATTTTCGCATGAAGTCACCCACGACAAACTTATAGAAGAAATTTTCTTTGCGAATGAATTGCTCCAAATCCTCATGAAAAGCATCAGGTTCGGAACCAGCAGCTGCATTCTCCAGCATCAGCTGATGGTAGTGATGGTTTTTTGATGCAGATGACGCAGTCGAAGAATAGCCTGGCGAAGTGATAGGATCTCGTGCGAATCGACAAGATGGACAACAGATGGGTGTACGACAAATCCAACGTCTCCAACGTTCCATGATGGAACCTTCCACCAGAATGATGAGTGTGCCTCACTCAGCTGCCTCCGTCTTTCTAGACTTTGTTCCCTGCAAGGCGATTACGTGGTATTTGCATTGCTTCGAAAAAGTCGGCGCTGGTGGAGACTGTCCCGGCGTTGTGGGTGCAAAGCATGAAACAATCTCCATAACGAGTCGTTGGCGTGTCCTTTTGGTTCGAAGAGTCCACGGCATCCTGTGCAATCTGACTGCCTTGATGACACCCGACGCCGTAGAGGTGCTCCATTGTGCAGGGCTTCTTTTTCTCTTGCATGCTGTACGGGCTACTTTTTAAACATTAGCAGAGTCTTGCCAGGGCCTGCCAAGCCTTTACGACAGGCAGTCGCTGACCTTATGTAAATTAGGAAGCCACCTAGCAACTGAATCAGCCAGACGATGGTGCTTCTGGCATGGCCTACTCTTAGCTGGGCATCCGGGGAACCGGAAACGTCGAACTGTTTTTCAGCTTGAGACACCCTGCTAAAGGGTAAACCTTCAGCTTTACTTCGCAGTTCGAGACCCAGAGTCACCCCGCGCCACGATGAGGCGACAGACCATTGCGGGAGAGTGAGGTATAGTAATTATAATTGGCAAGAAACACAAAGCAAGGTCAAGCTTTGCCATTTTAATCCAGCTTGGAAATTTAGTTTCAAACTAAGTAGCAGATCTAGAACATTTTGACTACTTTGCCGAAGCTGAAAAATTCAAACACTTACACCAGAAATTAAAAAGAAAATGTACGAATATTGACTAAACATAATGATTACTCGATTTGGTTCTCCCGCGCTTTATTTGTCTTTGAAGCATTGGAGTTCATTTGTTATTATATCGCTTGCTCAGCGACGCACATTGCTTTACCATATGTACTAGTCAACAATCATATGAAGTATAGCAAAATTACAGCATGCCATGCTTTGTTAACAAAATTAGAATGTTGTACTACTTTACTTTTATAAGGTTGCAAAGATTTGACCGTTTCCAGTATCGCACGACAGTATAACACTGGACACGAAGTGATGTTAGATATCGATACATATTATTTCTGAAATACTCGTGCGGCGACTCTGACTACAATCTGACAGATGGACATCACCAGCCAGTTAAAAGGCAGCGCTTTCCCAAAAATGGACGACAACGTCCCCCTCGCCCGATATATATTCTCCGCTTGTCCGCAACTCATCACTAGCATCTTCTATTTGGGCCTACTTTCGATATCCACTCACTTTAGTTTGCTCGAATTGTTTCAATTCATATTTTCATATCTCAAAATAAAAAAAAAGGGTACAAAACATGTGAGTACAATTCTACTGTTGAAGATGTGAAGACAAGTAATCCCAAAGAGGCTAAAGCCCAGTAGTTAAGCCAGCATGCATAACAAACATTTCAACCAAAACTGCGAGCTATTTAAACAATGGCAACCTTCTAAAGAAGACTAAAAAGCCCTTCCCAGCTATTTGCTATTTGCTGCTAAGTCCCACGAAGAATCAGCGTCTAAAACGTTTAAATCCTTTAACTTTTGAAATTGCGCTTCATCACAAAATACTGAAACGTTGCGAGAATATACACAAGACTAAGAACTCCTAGGGGTATTAAAATTAGCCTACTGCTAACGCAAGAAAACAAAAACTTTTAAGGGGCGGCACGCCTGCATCTCAAAAATGAAGCGCGATCATTCAAAAGTTAGTTTTTTTGGAGATGAGAAAGGATAAGAGTAAATTTTTCAATACTTTTCTTTCTATTTCCATTTTTAGGTGGAATACAACATTAACAAAAGTCTGGTCGGCTCATCCATAAGATAAGTTGTGACTGATATGTTCTTCGAATCTGTGGATCTACATCCATGGTGGTTGCAATCTCCCCAAACTTGTAGCAATATAACGAGTCATGCTTACAACTGCTTTAAACATTTCATGAGCTAGTGACACGTGTGGTTTTTGCGTTTCTCAGTAGATTTGTGGATGAACAGAACTTGCGCGCCGCCCCACCATTGA